TAAAGTTGCCAAGGTTGGACACCCCTGCTGTAGACGTTTCAAGGCCTAATTAGGTAACATCTCCCCAGCACAATGCTCAGAGCTTCAGAGAGCGCACCAAGGACTCCGCGATTCAATCTTGAGCTACATTTTTTTCTTCTATAGGTACTTTTCTAATCTCTTAAGCCAATTTAGGTAGTCAGAAAGAAAAGCGCATCATTTCTTACTTCCTCTCATTATGACCTATGGCCGTGAGGGTGAACCTATGGCACGGGTGCCACAGGTGGCACGCAGAGCCATTTGTGCGGGCACACGAGCCACAGCCAAACTTACCTGCACTGCTCATACGCGCGCCTCCCGGCTGACTTTCGGCCCATTTGAGGCCATTTTTGCCCTCGCGGAAGCTTGAGGGAAGCCTCTGCAGCCTTCGGTGGCAGAAAAACAGGCCCATTTCGTCACTTCCTGTATTTCCAGAAATACCGGAAGTGACAAAACGGGCCCATTTTTCAGCCTCCAAAGGCTGCAGAGGCTTCCCTCAAGCATCTGGGAGTCTGAAAAAGGCCTCAAACAGGCCAAAAATCAGCCGGGAGACGCACAGTGCAGGTAAGGAGAGGCGGGGTTGGGGATCGCATGAGCATGTATTGGAGGGGGGGGCTGCACGCATTGCCTTCTGGGTGCTGGCATGCGAGTGCGCACACACAAGTGCGCGCACAATTTTCGGCACAGCAGCCCAAAAAGATTAGCCACCACTGACCTATGGTGTAGCTTTACTTTTATAATAAGGTTTCCACTGATCATGTCTGGCTTTAAATTGAAGCCAGGATGTTCAGCCGGTCTGAACAACTGAAAGCCAACCATGTTTAATATGAACCTTCCTAAAAACAGGAGGAGAAGGTGATTTTCCCCAAGAGGTTCCAAACCACTTAATTCTACGCAAAAGGCCAAGAGTTTTGCTTGCTCTTTCTTGGCAATACAGTAATAATAATAAGCTAACACCAATAGTGGGCACCTTGGGTGCAATCCCAAAACATCCAGAATCTCAGCTAACATAATTTGAATATCGGCATTGACAAAATCATCACCAGTCAATTGCAAAAGGCAGCCGACCAGCTTACATCCTGAGGCGATATCATCAAGCAACAACGTTTTCCTATCCCAGATCCTTTGGAAGGACTCGATGGGTGGACAAAAATGCCACATCCAGTCTCAGCATTTGGTGGACTGTGCAACCAGTGAAAATAATAATGAAACATTTCCACCCATTGAGAAACACCTTCCATAGTCTTGAGCTTCCTGGCACGGCTGTTCTAAGAGCCTCTTTAGCCAGGCATGATATTCCCCTCTGAAAAAAAAATCGGGGTCGGCCAAAAGAGACCCCGCGCCACGTGCCAAGAAATCGCACACACAACACCAACGCTACACACCCTTCCTTTCCAGCCGGTCAGGTGTGGATCAGCTCCGGAGCTGGGCAACCGCTTCCCTGGTGGCGGGGCCGAGACCACCGCCCGGGGAGCGCCCGCTGCTTTCCCTCGCCAGGGCCGGGTGGTGGCGTGTTGCCCTGTGCCGCGTGGCCCCTGCCTGGCAGCGTGCTTCTCAGCACGAAGCAGCCAGGTTGCCCAAGGAGCCCGGCCGGCCAGGCGAGGGGAAGGCAGCGAGGACCAAGAGCGCTGGGAGGCAGAGATTCGGCCGAGGCCGTCAGACGGAGAGATGGCTGGTCTGCTCCGGTGCCGCTGCTGCCGTTGCAAAGCCCCGCCGCGGCTCCTTTTTGCCTTTCCCTTCCCGAGGCAACGCGGGACTGGAGCCGCGCGGAGCCGTGCCGGTGGTAGCAACTCCTGACTCAGGGCCTCCAAGGGGAGGGGAAGGAGGAGAAGAAGTGGGGGGAAAGGGTGGGGGGGGGGCAATTCCCAAAAAAATCAGAATTCTGATTTTAATTGGAAGAATATCATGTCTGTTTAACAAATGAACCACCAGCTACCAAGCAGGAAACTGGCGCAGCCCCTTGCCCACCTCCATGAGCCCCATGGCGAGTCCATGGAAGACGAGAGGCAGGCAAACTTCGGGGCTACTTACGCATCACTTCCATGACCCGATGACGGAGGAAAGTACGGCTGCTCTGCAGAGCTCCAAAGCGCTTCAGGTCCAAGGGCCAGACGTTGTCGGAAGGGTAGCCATTCACCATCCATTCGGCCAGGTACCTGTTATCAAAAATACACAGAGCTGGAAAGAGGCTGTGGGAGGCTATCAAGTCCGTCCATTTGCAGCACAAATTCGCATCAGAGCACCCTCCTGACAGGTGGCTTTTGAATCTCCTGAAGATATCCAGAAAACCCATCACCCCAAGTCACAGATTCCAAACCGCACAAATGAGAAATGCGAGGACAACCGTAAAAGGAACTCAGAAAGGTCAACCAGAGGTCCCAACCCTAAATAGCCACTTTGGGGCAGCATCTCAGAATGGTCAGCAATGCCACTTTTTGCAAAGAAGGAAGAAACTACGGAAGAAAAAAGAAAAAGGGACGTATCCACGATCTGATTTTATACTTATCCATGTCACGTATCTAGAAAAAAAATGTGATTCAACCACTTTGAAAACTGAATAAAGAAAAACAGTATGCATATCTCTATATATAAAAACAAAATACCCCTCACACGTCTTCACAAAATCTCCAGGATTGTAAAGCCTACAAACTTGAAATTTGGCACTCATGTTCCTCTTGGCTTCTAGGTGCTCACTAAGAAAGGATTTTTCCAAATGACCATCAGAGCATCAGTATTTCCTATATTATTATTAACACGCTCTGATGCTAAGGAGTTCTACTCCCCCTCCCCAACTGAAAAGAAATCTTGTTCCAAATACAAAACACAAGCAGAGGAGTTTCAGTTTCACAGCAGCAGCAAGCACCTTTAGTACAGAACAGTTGAGCTAAGCCACGCCCAGGCTCCTTGCTGTCTCCTTGCTCACACAGCAAATACTCTTTCAGTTTCCAAACAGCCCTCAACTCCCTCACACACTGACAGGATGCTAGCCAGATGAATACCGATGGATGCTGGTAGGCAGAGGCAGAATTTCCCCACCCCCCTTATTTTCCTCCCCAAAAACTAAGCCTGACCACATAGTTTCGTAGCAAAGCATGGGTATCGAGCTAGTGTTAAAATAGGAATGTCAGTTGTAAATATCTTTACATCTCATAAACAAGTCAGAATAATAGTCCAGTGATGAAGCTCCCAACTTCTGAAGGCAACTTCTCCATTGGCTGATTAGTCCATGAAGTCTTACTAGCCTTCTATTTTAAAAAGGGTTGTGAAAGTATAGTGATGTAGGACAGAGGCCCCCGCAACCTTTTGGGCACCAGAGACCAGTTCCGTGGAGAGGTTTTTCTTTGGACTGGAGGGTTTTGTGGGCTGCCTGCATCTTTGCTTGTTTGCGTGGCCCAGTTTCTGGCATGTCGCAGCCCGATGCCAGTCCACGGACCAGGAGTTGGGGACCCCTGATATAGGATATTAGCCTTTCAGGAAGTTAAGAAAAAAAAAGGAAAGGAGTCCTTGAGGATTTTACTCCACTCAAATATAAGGGGCAGCGCTCATATAAATATAAGGGGCTTGGCTAGTCTAGTGAAGAGAAGGACCAGGGGAGACAGGAGAGCATCTTCCAATATTTGAGGGGTTGCCACAGAGAGGAGGAGGGGGGTCAAGCTATTCTCCAAGGCCCCCGAAGGCCAGACAAGGAATAATGGATGGAAACTGAACAAGGAGAGACTCAACCTGGAAATAAGGATAAATTTTCTGAGAACAATCAACCCATGGAACAGAAGTTGCCTTCAGAAGTTGTGGGAGCTTCATCCCTGGAGGCTTTCAAGAAGAGGCTGGACTACCAGAAATGGTGTAGGGTCTCCTGCATGGGTGGGAGGTTGGACTAGGTGACCTACAAGGTCCCTTCCAACTCTGATTGTCGTAAAGGCTGCTCATCTCCATTTCAGTAAGTTAAGAACTGGGGGGGGGAAATATCATTTTCCTAGGTAGAAACCACCCCCAAGTTTTCCCTCCCCTCCCCGATAGGAAATGAGTCCACTTACTTGCCTGCTCCACCTCCAAAAGAAGTACCAGCCGCATTCATTCCTGCTAGGACGAAGTAGCCCTGCCTGGTGGGGGATTCTCCCATGATGCACCGCATGTCTGGAGTAAAGGATTCTGGGCAGTTCACCAGCTGCATGATCTCCAGGGCCTCCATATCCGGCATCCTCCTCAGCAAGGCACTCAGCAGTGGCTCTGATCCCCCCCCCCAAGGCAGAGCAGACAATTATCTCCGCCCATGGCAGAGAAAAGAGGGGATATGTCCCTTCTCCCACCCCCCCAAGAGTGGGCCAGGCCTCCAACAAGGACCCTTTAGCACAAAGCATGTTTCTACTCCAGCCTGCCTTCTACAGGTAGTCGACTTACAACAGTACAAGTACTTACAGACCGTTCAAAGTTACAACGGCACTGAAAAAACAGAGTTATGACCGTTTTTCACACTTAACGACCGCTGCAGCATCCCCATGGTCATGGGATCAATATTTGGATGCTTAGCAACTGACTCATATTTGTGACGGTTGCTTGGTGTTTTGCCATTTTTTTGTCTCTTGATTGCGTCTGTTAATTCCATCATTGTTATTCTTTCTTCTAATGCTGCTTTAACTGTTTCCAGTACTGTAGATAACTGCTTTTTCTAAAAATTGTTTTATTTTTTTCTTCTGGAATTGCCTCTTGGTCATGTAGTTTTTCATAATAGTTTTGAATTATTTTCTTTTTTATCATCATTTCAATGGGAAAGTGTCCCTTTATCGTCTATTAGTTGATAAATCGGTTTCTTTTCTTTCTCCTTTTTCAATCTATGTGCCAACCATCTTCCTGGCTTGTTTGCATTCTTTTAAAAAAATTGTTTAGATCTTTTAATGTTTTGTGCTAGTTCTTCTTTATCCATTAAATTCAATTCATGTTTTTTTAAGTCCATTTGGTTTTTTTATATTCTTTTTTGTGGATCTTTTTGTAATTCCCTGTCTAGCTTTCTATATTCCTCTTCTAATTTCTTTTGAACTTGCCTCTTCTTTTTATTTCTCTTTCCCACATATGTTATAGTTAGTCCTCTAATACAGTGGTCCCCAACCTTTTTTGTACCAGGGACCAGTTTCAAGCACAAACACTTTTTCAAGGACCGGGGGGGTGGGGGGGAATCCGAGTTTGGTGGTTTGCTTGCAGACGTTTCATTACCTGACTAGGTAACATCTGATGTTGTTACCTAGTCGGGTAATAAAACGTCTGCCAGCAAACCACCAAGTTCAGGGAGCGCCTCGGCCCTGCCTCCCTCAGCCCCATCCCTCAGGTGTCTGCCTCCCTCCCTCCCTCAGGTGTCTGCCTCGTTCCTCTCTCAGTCACTCTATCGCTCCTACAGCAGCCCAGGAAGAAACTGCTTCAAAGAAGCCGGGGGGTGGGGGGTGGTGGCTTTTCCTGTCGCCGCAGCTCCTCCGAAGCGCCCGTTTACCCCCACCCTGCCCGCCCGCCCGCGCGCGGTTCAACCCAGTGCTCCGTTCTGCCTGCCTGCCTGCCTTCTTCATTTCAGAGCAGCTTCGGCTGATAAAAAGAGGCGAATAGTTATTATTCTCAGCCGAAGCTGCTCCGAAACGAAGAAGGCAGGCAGGCAGAACGGAGCACTGAATTGAAGCGCGGGCGGGCGGGCGGGGGTAAACGGGCGCTTCGGAGGAGCTGCGGTGACAGGAAAAGCCCCCCCCCCCCCGGCTCCTTTGAAGCAGTTTCTTCCTGGGCTGGTGGAGCAGCGAGAGAGCGACTAAGAGAGGAACGAGGCGGGAGGAAACCGAAGCTGCTGAGCCAGAGAGCAGGACAGGCTTCGGTTGCTTCCTCCCTCCCCTTCTTTCATTTGTGTCCTTGATCCCCGATCCCAGCAGCATTCACCGAAGGCGAAGAAAGCCGCCATTTTTTTTTCTTTGTGGCCCGGTACAGAGTGCTCCACGGACCGGGACCGGTCCGCGGCCCGGTGGTTGAGGACCCCTGCTCTAATATATACCTTTGCTGTGTCCCATACATTCTGTAATGAGGTTTTCTTCTTTTCTATTCTTCTTAAAGAAAAAGTCCAGTTCTCTTTCCATAGATTGAATCAATTCTTTCTTTCAACATTGATTCATTGTCCACCTCGTCTTCTTTTTCTGTCCCATCCATGTAATTTTTATCAGATTGTGATCTGCCCAAGTGCTTGTTTCAATCTTTATTTCTTATACAGTATATTAGATGTTATCTCTGCTGACATCCACATCATTATCTATTCTAGAGCAAGACATATGTCTATTGGAATAGAATGTCTATTGATTTTTCTCAGGATGTATTTCTCACCAAGCCTAATTCTTCGACCATTTTGAAACAAGTTTTTGGGAGTGTTTTCCTAGCTTTCTTATTTATTTTTCTAGTTTTATAGTCCAATTTCACATCCATGATAACACTGAAGTCTCCTACTATACATATCCAATTGTGCATAAGTGTACCATCATGCCTACCGTCCCTGTCCTATTGTCCCCATTTATTCATACCTATTTCTTGTATTCATACTCATGTTTATTCTTATACCTATTATCTTGTAAGTGATTGACAAATCAGATCAAGTCAAGTCAATAAATAAATAAATAAATAAATTCCCGAGCCAGCTAGAATGCTGGCTCGAGAATTCTGGGAGTTGAAGTCCGTAAGTCATAAGGGGTCCATCGTTTCCCCCACCCCTCTGCTTTACACCAATGGTCTGGCCGCCTTACCAAAGTGATCCCAGTCCTCCTGCAAGTTTTGTATCTCCAGCTGATTCTTGCCCTCAGTGAAAATAGGCTTGGGGTTCTTCTCAAAGCCACCCGAGAGGATGCCCCCCTGCCAGCTGCGGATGTAGATCCTCCCATCGAGGTCCACAATAGCTGCGGAGGAGAGAAGCAAAGGCTTGAACCCGGGGAGAACAACAGGATGCAGAGGGGGGAGGAGGGGGGAAACCAACCGAAAACAGAGAGGAGGGGGCTAAGGGCGCCACTGCACCCAGGATTCCTGCACCCAGGGCCTGGCTGCCTCCTCACACAGCCCAGGTGAAGAGAAGAAGGGCTGCTGGTGCCAGATCTTCTCTGGCAAAGGGAATCCCAGCAGGAACCCATCTAGGTGTGATACCCCTGGGAAGCTCTGGTGCTGCTCTCTGCTCAAACAAGGCCGCTTCAAAGTGTCAGCACAAGCACAGGGAGCCCCCAAAACTTTATATTCACTCTTCTCCAGAGCAGCTGGGTGTTCTGGCCTCAGCTTCCCCAAAAAGCACTGAGCCGACTCTTTGTCTCGGCAAAACCCCTTTTACTAAATGAAGGTGAATTTCTTGCATTCACTTTTAGCCAAAGGCCTGGCCAACAGTCTTTCAAGGGTGTAATTAGGAGCACAGACCTTATCTAGCCAAGTAAATATTTCCAAACGCAGTGCTGACAAGGAAGGACTCAGCACAGAGTCTCTGAGATGTACAGACAGATCTTCACACTGCTGCAATGAACGAATTGTTCCTGCAAAAGCCCCTTCCCCTTTTGCTCCCCTTTCAATCCCTATGGGAGGGGTCATTCAACGTCCACCAGTGGCTTTACTCCCACGTCAACTCTTAGTTCGTAATTGTTCTTCTTTTGGCAGCTCTGCGCATGCGCAGGCCGGGAACCGGCTCCAGCTGCTCCTCCACCTCACTGCTGTCTGAGCCCTCAGGCAGCTGACAGCTGCCAGCCTGCCCTGGCCCCATCTCTGCCTCTGACTCAAAGCCCTCATCTGAGCCTTCCCCAGACTCCAGGACTGGCCCAGGTTCCTCCCCAACCTCCTCACTGTCCGATTCTGCTGCCAGCTTCGTCAGCCACTGGCAGGCCACAACACTGGGGGCTTCTTCAGAACCACAGCTATTGGGCTGAGGTTCTCCTCAACAATAGAATAGCACTTAGACTTATGTATCACTTCACAGTGCTTTACAGCCAAGCGGTTTACAATGTCAGCCTCTTGCCCCCAACAGTCTGGCTCCTCATTTTACCCTCCTTGGAAGGATAGAAGGCTGAGTCAACCTTGAGCCTGGTGAGATTCGAAATGCTGGCAGTTGGCAGAATGAGCCTGCAATATTACATTCTAACCACTGTGCATCATGGACGGATGGATGGGCAATAACAATAGCACTTAGACTTATATACCACTTTATAGTGCTTTCCAGCCCTCTCTAAGCAGTTTACAGAGTCAGCCTCTTGCCCCCAACCATCTGGGTCCTCGGAAGAACGGAAGGCTGAGTCAACCTTGAGCCTGGTGAGAATCGAACTGCCAAACTGCTGGCAGCCAGTTTCAACAAGCTTCAGGGAAGCGAAGAATCTTCTCTAAATAGAATCAGGCCTTGCCCAATACTGTCCTGTATTTAGGTCTCAGGTCAAGGCCTTTTACGCCTGTTCGTGCCCTTTAACTCAGGGATGTTGTTGTGGCCTGTTGGTTGCCGGCCCCTCCAGCAGCCAAATCAGAGGAGGAAGCATGGGAATAAGGGTCAGCATCAAGGCAACTGAGAGCTCCGAGGGGGAAAGGGGAATGGAGCTGGCAGAGAGAGAGAGGCAGAGCCTGGGCCACCCGTCAGCCCTCAGATGGAGAGTCAGCAGCCCCCAGGCCTGGAGTGGCTGATGAGGAAGAGGAGGAACAGCAGGGTCCAGTGCCTGACGCATGGATGCACAGAAGGCAGAGGAGAGGAGAGCAGTGGAAATCTATGGGCCAGTCCTTGGGACGGAAGAGCCACCGCTGCTAGCGAGGCCCCATCTTAGCTCTGGGGATAAAAGGCAGGGGGCAGAGATGAACAGATGTGGCAGACAATTATTCATCTCCCCTGCCGGACAGACTTGTTAGCCTGCGTTGAGAGAGAAACTTTTTGCCGGGGATAAAGGAATCATTGCTTCAACTACAGAGGGTTTGGGGAAGCTGGGTTAGAACAGATGTCCAACCTTGGCAACTTTAAGATTTGTGGACTTCCAAGTCCCAGAAG